GAAACGAGGTAGGTGCCTAGGATGTTAAACAACCATGGTCAATCTCTTGCCTGTACGTCGAATATTCACAATATAATCAGCTCACCAGAAGGGAAGAAAACCAACGCGGGGGTAAGGGTGGACGACGCGCAACCCGTGCCACACCGTGAACCAGAGGAAATAGCAGAGTTGATAGCAGCCGTATCATCCGTCACACCATCACCTTTGGCACCGTAGTCCTTGACATTGCGATATACAGAATAGCTAGCAGGCGCAGAGTTATAAGCAGAGGTACCCTGGTGAGTGATGGTCTGCAGCCAGTAAGGGTCGGAGGCGGCAGCGCTGGGGCTGAGCGCTGCGGAACAGCTGGTACCGAGAGCAGCGACTTGAGAGACGGCGAGCGTCGCGACTGCGACGAGCGAACGGAACAACATCGTTGAGGATCAACGACAGGAGGAAAGGGGGGGAAATGCGATAGGTTAGCAACCTGGCAGCAGTGCCCTCCTTCTTAAAGCGAATGAAAACAAGGATTAACGAGGTTAGGGAGAGAAGTGTTCTAGGAAGAATTCATGGCAGATAGATGGTCCAGGGCGACGATGCCGACGGATTGATTAATCCGCTCATGGGCCAAAGTAGAGTCATAAGAGCCACGCAAAATGGTCAGTATCGCAGAAATGTATCAATGAGCGGCTGGAACGACGGGATATCAAAAAATAAAGAAGCCATAGAGGACAGAAATAACCTCACAAGTATAGCTTAAGCTTTCGGATGATTCCACATGTTCTCAACGGGAAGAAGGCTGAGTTTAACAGGGATCTCAGCCGCAGGTGTCGATCGACTTTAGCTTCCTTGCATGAGTTGGACACCCCGAGCAGCGAAGGTTGGCTTGGAGTTTATCCTGATGACGATGGTTGCGCGGCACGACCACTGGATGGCTTGAAGCAACCACGAAGATCACACTTCATATTTGTGGCCCATAGCGCTATCCAAAGGCGAACTTCTCATACTACCGGGGAAAAACCGAAAATAACCGGCCCTCAACGATAAGTGAGATTTTTACGAAAAAAGCGGGGGAATAGCCTTGCCGCTCTGCGGGGGTATATTCCTCGTCAGCAGGCGGGGTTCACCAATAAAAAACTATAATATCCGCAAGGAGATCGTGGAATAAACAATACGCATAAGTATACGTGTGGGAGCATTACAATTCATTGATGACCTAGCTTTGGTGCGATCATACACTTAGTGGCTCGAGGGATGGTATCGAGGCACCTGGCTTGATGAAGCCCCGATAATCAGTGAGTTGGCCTAGATACCAAGTTGCGGGGTTCGCGCCGATCGTCATTTGAAGTTCCTGGCTTCCTATCAAAAGCGCAGCAAGGGCCTCAGGGTTCTGTATAAATGTTTCAATACTCACCAATAAAGTTTGCAGCGGGGACAGTGAGCGCACAAGCCAGTCAGATGAGTGCGTTATATTCAAGAATTGCGTGTTCATTGTTCCCTCGCAAGCCTCTCAATCACCAAACGTGCGATTTCACTTGCCCGGACGGCGCATTTTTTGCGCACTCGGCGTTGTGGCCCGACAACGGATAATTTTGATCATCATCGCATGCTCACCAGACTCGTGATCCATTACCAGCGGTGTTCGTTGCCCCATGTGCTGAGGAAGTCAAGAGTCGTCATAAAAGCCGCCTGAGTCAGAACGTTCTAAAAATATCAACATTCAGCTGGGCATATTCCCACGTTCGTACAAAGAGCCCGGGTTGGGTGTAAGGTAATGGTACTGTGAGATTGGTACGTCGAGATGTGCTGGGCGCAGGAGAAAGTCGGTATGGGTCGCGTTATCATGATGGATTCGAGAGGTCGAGGCCAGCAAAGCCGGACCGTACATTATCAATGTCGCGCAGGGCGGTCCGCAGCATCTCTGTAATGAACTTGAGTCCTTGTTGCTCGGTTACAATGATCTATCAGGGTAAAGTAAGATAGAGTAACAGTCAGTCATACAAG